AGCGTAAACTTCCCGAGAAGCAAACACTACATCAATGTTCAAAATACTAAATGGTTCACTGATTTCCTAAAATTTAAAGCCCTTCAAGTGTCAATGTCTGGATGGGATTTACTAATGTTACGATGCAATTGATATCACAATCCGTGTTACGGTACTGATCTTAGAACCGGTGTTACGGTGTTGACCTTGAATAGCTGCACTCCTATGCAGGCGAACATGAACTGCAGCAGCGTGGTGACGATCATGATGTTACCAATGGTCCTGATGGCCACAAACACACACTGGACCACGTGCTGTAGGGGGCAAAGTTCAAATGTTAGCAGCTATTGAACAGTAAGATGGCATTACATTGATGAAAGGTCAATATATGTCAAATATATAGGACCTGTCTGCTGCCTTTGATACTGTGAACCATCAGATCCTCCTCTCCACCCTCTCTGAGCTGGGCATCTCCGGCGCGGCTCACTCTTGGATTGCGTCCTACCTGACCGGTCGCTCCTACCAAGTGGCGTGGCGAGAATCTGTCTCCGCACCACGTGCTCTCACCACTGGTGTCCCCCAGGGCTCAGTTCTAGGCCCTCTCCTATTCTCGCTATACACCAAGTCACTTGGCTCTGTCATATCCTCACATGGCCTCTCCTATCATTGCTACGCAGACGACACACAACTAATCTTCTCCTTTCCCCCTTCTGATAACCAGGTGGCGAATCGCATCTCTGCATGTCTGGCAGACATATCAGTGTGGATGACGGATCACCACCTCAAGCTGAACCTCGGCAAGAGGGGAAGGACTGCCCGTTCCATGATCTCACCATCACGGTTGACAACTCCGTTGTGTCCTCCTCCCAGAGTGCGAAGAGCCTTGGCATGACCCTGGACAACATTCTGTCGTTCTCCGCTAACATCAAGGCGGTGACCCGATCCTGTAGGTTCATGCTCTACAACATTCAGAGAGTACGACTCTGCCTTACACAGGAAGCGGCACAGGTCCTAATCCAGGCACTTGTCATCTCCCGTCTGGATTACTGCAACTCGCTGTTGGCTGGGCTCCCTGCCTGTGCCATTAAACCCCTACAACTCATCCAGAATACCGCAGCCCGTCTGGTGTTCAACCTTCCCAAGTTCTCTCACGTCACCCCGCTCCTCCGCACACTCCACTGGCTTCCAGTTGAAGCTCGCATCTGCTACAAGACCATGGTGCTTGCCTACGGAGCTGTGAGGGGAACGGCACCTCCGTACCTTCAGGCTCTGATCAGTCCCTACACCCAAACGAGGGCATTGCGTTCATCCACCTCTGGCCTGCTGGCCCCCCTACCTCTGCGGAAGCACAGTTCCCGCTCAGCCCAGTCAAAACTGTTTGCTGCTCTGGCACCCCAATGGTGGAACAAGCTCCCTCACGACGCCAGGACAGCGGAGTCACTGACCACCTTCCGGAGACACTTGAAACCCCACCTCTTTAAGGAATACCTGGGATAGGATAAAGTAATCCTTCTACCCCCCCTTACCTCACGCCCCCCCAAAAAAAATATACAAATACAAATACATATTGTAAAGTGGTTATCCCACTGGCTATAAGGTGAATGCACCAATTTGTAAGTCGCTCTGGATAAGAGCGTCTGCTAAATGACGTAAATGTATTGTAAATGTATAGCGATGATACAGTACCGTGAACTAGAAAGTTTTTTCTTTAAACCCTGTAAAGATTTTGGCAACAAACTATCCCAAGTGTACTGCAATTGTTCTACCAATACTGAGGCAAGTAATATGGTCCATAAAGAGAAGGAGTAGGAGGTATAACGTTTTAGGATGAGGCAGTACTGTACCTTGAGGCCCTTGGCTCGGTTGATGGCCCTCAGGGGCCTGAGCACTCGCAGGACTCTCAGAATCTTCACCACTGAGATGGCAGAGGACCTAAATGTCATCACAGGAACTCACTGTCAGAAACAAACTTGCACTCTCTAAACACAATCACTCATTGTCATATCAAACTTGACCATATCAATAAAAAAATGATGTGTTAGGACAGGAGAAGAAACAGAGAGAGAGAGGAAAGGGGGAGGAATTAGATAAGAAAGAGGTGAGAGAGAGAGAGAGAGGAGAAAGAGAGAAGAAGGAGAGAGAGAGAGAGGAGGAAGAGAGAGAGAGAGAGAGGAAGAGAGGAGAGAGGAGCGAGAGAGAGAGACAAGGGAGAGAGAGAGAAGGGGAGAGAGAGAGAGAGAGAGGGGAGAGGAGGAGGAGAAGAGAAGAGAGGAAGGAGAGAGAGAGAGAGAGAGAGAGAGAGAAGGACTGAGAGAGGAGAGGGGAGAGAGAGAGAGGGAGGAGGAGAGAGAGAGAAGAGGAGGAGAGAGAGAGAGAGAGGAGGAGGAGAGAGAGAGAGAGAGAGAGAGAGAGAGGAGAGAGAGAGAGAGAGAGAGAGAGAGAGAGAAAAAAGTAATAGTGTAGGTGGAGGGTAGCAGCAGGTACTGACTGGATGCAGAAGGAGACCAGGGAGACCCCCACCACCAGCAGATCCAGCAGGTTGAAAGTGTTCCTACAGAACGCTCCTTTATGGAGGAACGCTCCGTATGTGGTCATCTGGAGGGAAGGGCACAGCAAGTTAGACGAGTAACAAACACTAAGAAATACACACAAATACACACATCAACACACACATTCACACAAACACAGGGACACACACAAGTACACAAATACACCGTTTTACACCACAAGACAAACAGACACACCTCCCCTCAAACCCACATACACCCACATACAGTATTTCCACACTCTTGTAGATCACTCTATTTCAGGGTGGCGAGCTCAGACTCAGAGCAGTAGAACAGCAGGTTAGCAGCTACCGTCGCCACCCTGCGGCACCGTGGTACATGAATGTAGTAGAAAGTCATTCATTTCACAATCGGCTAATAACAGGGTCACTCGCGGCAATAAAACATGCAGTTTGTTGCCACGCTGAGGACAAATATTATATCTACTACCTGAGAGAAACGAAAGGATCGAACGCCCTACCGATTGGAAAACTGAATGCCCTTACTGACACATTCATGTATGGCCGTTTCCCTTAAAGCACATTCCTTCATGTTCTTTAATATAAAGGGATACAAATATCAGACTTCAGCAGGCAGAGAAGTAAACAACCCAGCAAAAGGAAGTCTTGTTGAAATCATAAAAGAAAAGGATTCATCGTCCTGAGTGCATGTAAATGTAGAGAGCAGCTAGCGCTAACAGAAAGCACTGCTAATGCAGCAGGACCAAACTGAGCTGGGTCGTGTTCATTCGGCACCAAAAAAAAACAACAGGGAAGGACTATCTGAACTGGTCCAATAAGAAACCCTAGTTTTCGCATTCCGTTGCAAAACATGTTGCTACGGTGTGCCCTAATGAATACGACCCTGGACAGGACTGGGCGGGGTTGGGCTGTCCTTTTAAGGGTTCTGAAGGAAACACTACATTTCTAAGCACTCAGTCAATCAGGGGAAAGCCCATGCTCGACATGAACATGGTTGGTTTGCCCCCTCTTTTATGGCTTAGTATCTGAATAGCAGTCAGTCAGTATGAAACAGAGGCATAGAGTTGGCTTTGACTGGAGATGGCCTTAGATGTTTGTTTTTAAACCCCCCAACACTCCCCAAATGACTTCAAGGTCAACTTCAGTCAAAGCTTAATCTCTTAAACAGCACATTGATATCTCTTTCCTTGCACAAAGAGTTGCATAATTTTTAGAGAGTTGCACAAAATTGTGTCGTCGGTCAAAATTCCAAAACCTTTTCAACTCAATGATGACTTTTCCAAACGTGACAAACATGATGACACCAATCTGGGATAGTTTGTGTCTTTGATTCCTTCCTGGATTATTAGTTTCTTGATTAGTGGAAATTGAACAACTCTTGTGTTAGTTAGTGTGTGTGCAGTGCTAGTAAGTGAGTTAAGCTAATGATGGCAGTCTAGATGTTTTGGTAGTTAAAAGAGGTGCCATGGAGTAAAAAGAGAAAGAACAGAAAAGGAAAACTAAAACAAGGCAGGTAGTACTGTGGTGGCAGCAGGTGACACACAAGGAGAGAGTGCAGCAAGGCTCTCTGTCGTCATTAGCGAGAGTTACCTTTAACATGATCTCAAATGTAAACATACTAGTGAAGACATAATCTGCATAGCCTAGGACCTGGAAGGCAACCAGACGTTTGGGAGTGTTACTGTGGGGTCAGTTAGTTGACAGCACAGAGAGGCAGACACAGGCCATTTACCTTCAACAGGATCTCAACAGTAAAGATAGCCGTGAAAGCATAGTCAAAGTAACCAAGTATCTGCAAAAAGCAACGAACATGTTTAACAAAGATTATACAGGTTATGCAAGTATGTTCATCAAAGACATTTGAAAAACAAGTTAGAGTGGGAATCCATGTGTGCAGGAAAGAGCATAGGAAAGGACTTAGTATGCTTAAACAAAAAATCTACAGTATTCATATAAATTAATCAAATCCATGTAGATTACAATATATTCTATAATGCAGTATATATTCAATATATAATTTCATTAAGAGCACCTGCACGATGTCATCCACCTACTACCACAATGACATATCATCTTACAGTTCCTGCTGTTTGAGGTTAAATTGATGAGATTACATAATGATTCCAAAGTCATTGAACCTGCTGCCTCAGAGGATCATGGGGGAAAGTTCAGGAAAGAGTTATCATTACCGTTAATGTCACTCTTAACAAACTAAATCACTAAATCTAAATCAATAACCTTAAAATAAGTACTATTTACTTGTAAATATCACAAATCAATACAGAATGTTTCTTTACTATGTACTACTATGTAGCCTAACAATTGAAAATAATTGACTGTATACTATGTGTTCCAATAAATATGACCCAACATTATTCTAATGTAGACAGAAGGTTTCTGTACTTACGATGTTGCGTGCGGAGAAGTTGCGTATGGGGTCCTCTGCAGCGAGGGAGACAGAGCTGAGCATGATGAAGACCAGGATGAGGTTGGTGAAGATGTGGTGGTTGATGAGTTTATGACATCCCACCCGGATCCTGAGGAGAACCACAGAAAATACACACACCTGCCGAGAGAGCTCAGAAAAGAGTGTGTGCGTGTGTGCGTATGTGTTTGTGTGTGTGTGTGTGTGACCTACGGGTTAGTCTTGCTGAAGATGAAGAAAGCACTGCCGTCAGGGATGGGGGTGATCTTCTCCTTCTTGACCAACTCAGAGATGGCTGGGCGTGGCCCTGCTGGAACCTCCGGCTCCTCCTCCTCCTCCTCCGCTGCACAGACTCACAGTGAGAGGGATAGACCACACACACACACACACACACACACACACACACACACACACACACACACACACACACACACACACACACACACACACACACACACACACACACACACAAACACACACACACACACACACACACCCAGGACTGTACCTGCAGCATTGTCCTCTTCCTCCTCCACTGGTGCCTGTATCCATAGAAGCAAATGTGATAAAAAGTTATAACTGTAAGTCTGGAATCAGATGCAACACATGTATACAATGATGCTGAATAAACCTGAACCACAATATGTCTGGGATGGAGTTTTACCTCTTCCTTTTTCTCGTCCTTTTTGTCTCTTGGAGCGTTGAGAGACTCTGCGTCTGCCAGGTTGTCCACAGCAATAGCCAAGAAGACGTTCAGCAGGATGTCTGAGCAAAGTGTTCAGTCAAGGACAGAACCTGAACACATCTATTGTACTGTATGAGCTACATACTCATATACACTTATTCAGAAACGTCTGAAATGTTCATTGCGATAAGGACGGAAGAAACAAGACTGACTACATAAACAAAAAAGGGGTTGTGTTTGCAAGGCTCCATCCCTATTCATAAGAACATGAACAAGAACAACTTGGATTTTGTCTATATCCACCCTGGTAGACCATGTCCATAAAGAAGAATCCATAGAACTAGGGAAATTAGTTTGACCTGGTCAAGTCACATCAAGTCACTTTAACTAGTTAAAAAGTAGAATCTGTGGTTAGTGAATAGAAACTACGTAGTTAGAGCAGATTGGGATTATCTGGGGTCAGAGAGATTGGGATGACAGGATGAGTGTGGTAACGAAAGGATACAGTTTCCGCAGATGAAGAGGATAATGAAGTAGAATGAGACGATCATCCCTGAGGAAGAAGGGCCGCCGTACGCCATGATGCCGTCATACATCACAGCGTTCCAGTCTTCACCTGTCAGGATCTGGGCACAACGCACCCAAATACACTCAATCATTTTGGATGCTACACACATAGAGGTCCTAGAATTCATATGCGATTCTATGGATACACATACAGCATTCACTGGTAACAAGATGGCGCCGACAGACACGGTCACCCTGTTTCTAGTTCCCAGCCAACTTTGCAGTATTATTTTTATTTTTTTGTTAATTCGTACATTATTTGCTCAGAACGTTTCTTGTATTATTACCTACAGCCGGAAATAACTTTTGGATATTCGATCGGAGGTCACTCATCAAATTTTTATCCAGAATTTTGTCTTCCCTGACCTGGATCCTTTGTTTGAACTGCACGAGGCAGCTCTATTCATCCTGGGGCCAGCACCAAAACGCTGACGCCGGAGAGTAGAGGTAGAAGGAGTGGAGCCCTAGTTAGACTCAGGCAGCGTGCATACTATCCACCGCTTCTGAGTATATTTCTTACTTACGTTCAGTCCCTGGACAATAAAGTAGATGAACTCAGGGCGAGGATCTCATTCCAAAGAGACATCAGGGACTGTAACATACTCTGTTTTACAGAATCATGGCTCTCTCCAGATATATTGTCCCCATCCATTCAGCCAGCGGGCTTCTCAGTCCATTGCATGGACAGGAAGAAAGAACTCTCCGGGAAAAAGAAAGGTGGAGGTGTATGTTTCATGATTAACAACTCATGGTGTGATTGTGGTAACGTACAGGAAGTCCAGTCCTTTTGTTATTCTGATCTGAAATGTCTTGAGGCAATAAGTATTCATCCCCTTTGTTATGGCAAGCCTAAATAAGTTCAGAAGTAAAAATGTGCTTAACAAATTGCATAATAAATTGCATGGACTCACTCTGTGTGCAATAATAGTGGTTAACATGAATGACTATCCCATCTCTGTACCCCACACTTACGATTATCTGTAAGGTCCCTCAATCGAGTAGTGAATTTTAAACACAGATTCAACCACAAAGACCAAGGAGGTTTTTCAATGCCTCGCAAAGAAGGGCACCGATTGGTCGATGTGTAAAAAAAAAAAAAACATACAGTGAATATCCCTTTGAGCATGGTGAAGTTATTAATTATGCTTTGGATAGTGTATCAATACACCCAGTCACTACAAAGATACAGGCGTCCTTCCTAGCTATTTCACCATGAGGCCAATGGTGATTTTAAAACAGTTACAGAGTTGAATGGCTGTGATAGGAGAAAACTGAGGATGGATCAACAACATTGTAGTTACTCCACAATACTAACCTAAATTCAGGACAAAACATGCATCCTGTTTGCAACAAAGCACTTAAGTAATACTAAAAAAAAATGTGGCAAAGAAATGAACTTTTTGTCCTGAATACAAAGTGTTATGTTTGGGGCAAATTACATTTACATTTACGTCATTTAGCAGACGCTCTTATCCATAGCGAGTTACAAATTATACACAAAAAAATGTATGCATGCATGACTGTAAGTCGCTTTGGATAAAAGCGTCTGCTAAGTGGCATATTATATTATTATAAATTGGTGCATTCACCAAATCCAACACAACACATCACTGAGTACCACTCTTCATATTTTCAAACATGGTGGTGGCTGCATCATGTTATGGGTATGCTTGTCATCGGCAAGGACTAGAGAGTTTCTTAGGATAAAAAGAAACAGAAAACAGCTAAAAGCACAGGCAAAATCCTAGAGGAAAACCTGGTTCAGTCTGCTTTCCAAAAGACACTGGGAGACAAATTCACCTTTCAGCAGGACAATATCCTAAAACACAAGGCCAAATCTACACTGGAGTTGCTTACCAAGACGACATTGAACGTTTGTGAGTGGCCTAGTTACAGTTTTGACTTAAATCGGCTTGAAAATCTATGGCATGACTTGAAAATGGCTTTCTAGCAATGATCAACAATCAACTTGACAGAGCTCAAAGAATTTTAAAAGGAATAATGGGCAAATATTGTACAATCCAGGTTGCAAAGCTCTTAGAGGCTTACCCCAAAAGACTCACAGCTGTACTCGCTGCCAAAGGTGCATCTATAAAGTATTAACTCAGGGGTGTGATAATTCTGTACTTCATTTTTCTAAATACATGTTTTCACTTTGTCATTATAAAAAATAAAATAAAAATACATATTGTAAAGTGGTTATCCCACTGGCTATAAGGTGAATGCACCAATTTGTAAGTCGCTCTGGATAAGAGCGTCTGCTAAATGACGTACATGTAAAATGTAAATGTATTGTGTGTAGATGGGTGAGACAAAAAAATCAATTTAATCCATTTTGAATTCAGGCTGTAACACAACAAAATGTGGAATATGTCAAGGGGTATGAATACTTTCTGAAGGAACTATACATAGAGTCATTGAGCACTGGCCACTTTAATAATGTTTACATACTGTTTCACCCGCTTTCTATGTACAAACTGTATTCTAGTCATGGCTCATCCTATGTAACTACTGCTGTACACACATTTTCTATTCATATACTGTCCATACTGTCGATACACACCATAATATGTAATATACATTATATGTATATATGTTTATATTTCTCATTTTTTTGTAAATAATTTTTTTATTATGTGTGTATAGTTTTTTTGTATTGCTTGGTATTCCTGCACTGTTGGAGCTAGAAACACAAGCATTTCACTGCACCTGATAACATCGGCAATAAACTTTGATTTGATTAGTGTAGCTCAGTTGGTAGAGCATGGCGCTTGCAACGCCAGGGTTGTGGGTTCGTTTCCCATGGGGGGCCATTATGAAAAATGTATGCACTCACTAACTGTAAGTCGCTCTGGATAAGAGCGTCTGCTAAATGACTCAAATGTAAATGTAAATTAGTACATCATCACATACTACTGTAGTTTATATAACATGCCATAGAGAGACAATGGTGCATATTACTCTACTTATGTACTGTAATACACAACATACAGCGGAAACAGACAGAGGAGTTATCTAAAGAAAAACCAACAATAGTTCTGGTATGGCTAGCCCAGTGGAGTAGTGAAGGGTAAACGCCTTTAAATGCCTTTGACGTTATTTGTCTCAAGCGTTTACCCACCTATTGTGGAAAAATGCATTGAAAATATACTGAGCATTACTTTATTCACTGCAAATGGCAATCAGTGTTTATGTAGCGGACATGAGTCGGTCATGGTTGCTCATGGTGACGTTATGAGGTAGCCTCGCCTGTGACTTCAAAATCAGTGTCTGCCCTCGCCCCAAGAGGGAATTTCCTCTTGGTATAATGGCCAGGACGTTGGTTTCTCTCGTGGGAGACCCGGGTTCACTGTGCTAGCCCTCATGTCATGATGTCATCATGAGGAGGCTCTCCTTACAGTATATACAACATTCACTAAATATACATGTAGGTAACTCATGAGGTTCTAAATATAAGTAGGTGTGTGTGAGAGAGAGAGAACACCCCCACACACTGTACTGTTCACCCACCTGAAACACAGTGAGCAGTGCCTGGGGGAAGTTATCGAAGGTGCTCCTCTTGGTCTGTGTCTCGTCGAAGTTGAACTTGCCTCCGAACACCTGCATGCCCAGCAGGGAGAAGATGATGATGAAGAGGAAGAGGAGGAGGAGCAGGGAGGCGATGGACTTCATGGAGTTCAGCAGCGACGCCACCAAGTTACTGAGAGACTGCCAGTGACTGGACAACACACAGAGAAGGGGGGGGTTAGGCAAAATTACACACACCCACACAGTATGTACACACACACACACACATAAACAAACTGATTTTTTTTTACACTTTACTCTGGCCAAAGAGCATAAACAAACACACACACACAAACACATCTCGAGTCACAGCCACACTCTGCACCCTACACTCACACACACTTACACTGACACCCCAACACACTCATACACTACATATGCCCACACACACATAACATATGCACACATGCATACTGACGTCACACACACGATCACACACACTCACCACATACGCTGCTGCTACTGCTCCACATACGCTGTTGCTACAGCTAAGTCTACTATCTATCCTGCTGCCTAGTCACTTTACCCCTACCTACAGTGCCTTCAAAAATTATTCATACCCCTTGACTTATTCCACATTTAGTTGTGTTATAGCCTGAATTCAAAATGGATCTACACACAATAACCCATTAGTGAGAAATTGAAAACATGTTTTTACATTTGCACATTTATTGAAAATGAAATACAGAAATATCTCATTTACATAAGTATTCACACTCCTGAGTCAATACTTCGTAAAAACACCTTTGGCAGCGAGTACAGCTGTGAGTCTTTCTGGGTACGTATCTAAGAGCTTTCCACACCTGGATTATGCAACATTTGCCCATTATTATTTTCAAAATTCTTCAAGATCTGTCAAATTGGTTGTTGATCATTGCTAGACAGACATTTTCAGGTCTTGCCATAGATTTTCAAATAGATTTAAGTCAAAACTGTAACTCGGCCACTCAGGAACATTCACTGTCTTCTTGGTAAGCAATTCCAGTGTAGATTTGGCTTTGTGTTTTAGGGTTATTGTCCTGCTGAACGATTAATTCATCTCCCAGTGTCTGGTGGAAAGCAGACTGAACCAGGTTTACCTCTAGGATTTTGCATGTGCTTAACTCCAGTTTCTTTTTTATCCTGAAAAACTCCCCAGTCCTTAACAATTACAAGCATACTCATAACACTATGCTTGAAAATATGGAGAGTGGTACTCAGTAATGTGTTGTATTGGATTTGCCCCAAACATAACACTTTGTATTCAGGACAAAAAGTTAATTGCTTTGCCACATTTTTTGCAGTATTACTTAAGTGCCTTGTTGCAAACAAGATGCATGTTTTGCAATTTTTGTATTCTGTACAGGCTGTCTTCTATTCACTCTGTCAATTAGGTTAGTATTGTGGAGTAACTACAATGTTGTTGATCCATCCTCAGTTTTCTCCTATCACAGCCATTAAACTCTGTAACTGTTTTAAAAGTCACCAGTGGCCTCATGGTGAAATCCCTGAGCGGTTTCCTTACTCTCCGGCAACTAAGTTAGGGAGTTATCTTTGTAGTGACTGGGTGTATTGATACACTATCCAAAGTGTGTCACGCCCTGGCTCTGGGGACTCTTATATGTTGAGCCAGGGTGTGGATTTTCTATGTGTGATTTTCTATGTTGTGTTCTAGTTCGTGTTTTCTATGTTGGCCAGGGTCGTTCCCAATCAGAGGCAGCTGATTCTCGTTGTCTCTGATTGGGAACCATACTTAGGCAGCCTTTTGGCACAAGTTTATTGTGGGATCTTGTTCCGGAAGGTTTGTGTATTTAACCTAGGACTTCACGTATCGTTTATTGTTTTGGTTCGTTGTGTGTACACTAATAAAAGTATGTACGCCTATCACGCTGCGCCTTGGTCCGCTTCATCGTGTAACGATCGTGACAGAAGATCCCACCTCGACTGGATCAAGCAGCGTGACGAGGAGAGAGGATGGACGTGGGAGGAGAAGAGTGAGAGTCTGGCGAGAGCCATGGAGGCCATGTTCACGGGGGAGAGACAAGCCCCAAACATTTGTAGGGGGGGGGCTCACACCGTGGACGGCCAGGCAGCGGGAAGCCGCGATAGAGCGGTTCGGCAGGTTTGCAGAGGAGGCCGCCAGGTTACGGGGGCCACTGGTCACGAGGGAGAAGGAGAGTGTAGAGGCACGGCGAGAGGTCCTGGGGTGTGTTACCAGTCCGGTCCGGCCCGTTCCTGATCCCCGCACAAGGCCAGTGGTGTGTGTTCCCAGTACGGTCCGGCCTGTTCCTGTCCCTCGCACCAAGCCTGTGGTGCGCGTCGCCAGCCCAGTTCGGCCTGTTCCTGCTCCCCACACCAAGCCTGTGGTGCGCGTCGCCAGCCCGGTCCGTCCTGTTCCTGCTCCCCGCACCAAGCCAGTGGTGCGCGTCGCCAGCCCGGTCCGGCCTGTTCCTACTCCCCGCACCAAGCCTGTGGTGCGCGTCGTCAGCCCGGTCCGGCCAGTTCCTGCTCCCCGCACCAAGCCAGTGGTGCGCGTCGTCAGCCCGGTCCGGCCTGTTCCTACTCCCCGCACCAAGCCAGTGGTGCACGTCGTCAGCCCGGTCCGGCCCGTTCCTGCTCCCCGCACCAAGCCAGTGGTGCGCGTCGCCAGCCCGGTCCGGCCTGTTCCTGCTCCCCGCACCAAGCCAGTGGTGCACGTCGTCAGTCCGGCACAGCCCGTGCCTGCTCCACCGGTGCCTGTCAGCTGCTCCACACCGGAGCCTGAGCAATCCGCTCCACCGGTGTCTAGTCCAGCTCCGGCCAGCGGGGCCAGACCAGAGCAGGGGCGCTACGGGGGGGTAGCGAGAGAGTGGTGGTCACGCCCGGAGCCGGATCCGCCTCCGAGGCGGAATGCCCACCCGGCCCCTCCCCTGTTGTGTTTGGTTGGCGCGGTCGCAGTCCGCGCCTTTGGGGGGGGGGGGGGTACTGTCACGCCCTGGCTCTGGGGACTCTTATATGTTGAGCCAGGGTGTGGATTTTCTATGTGTGATTTTCTATGTTGTGTTCTAGTTCGTGTTTATTGTGGGATCTTGTTCCGGAAGGTTTGTGTATTTAACCTAGGACTTCACGTATCGTTTATTGTTTTGGTTCGTTGTGTGTACACTAATAAAAGTATGTACGCCTATCACGCTGCGCCTTGGTCCGCTTCATCGTGTAACGATCGTGACAAAGTGTAATTAATACCCTCACCATGATCAAAGGGATATTCAATGTCTGCTTTTTTTTATTTGTACCCATCTACCAATATGTGCCCTTCTTTGCGAGGCATTGGAAAACCTCCATGGTCTTTGTGGTTGAATCTGTGTTTGAAATTCACTGCTCGACTGAGGGATCTCACTGATAATTGTATGTGTGGGGTACAGAGATGAGGTAGTCATTCAAAAATAATGTTAAACACTATTATTGCACACAGAGTAAGTCAATGCAACTTGTTAAGCAAATGTTTACTCCTGAACTTATTTAGGCTTGTCATAACAAACTGGTTGAATAGTTATTGACTGTAAAAATGTCCCTTTGGTGTGAATACTTTCTGAAGGCACTGTTTGTACATAGCTACCTCATTTACCTAGTATTCCTGCACATTGACTCGATAGCCATGTTATTTTTACTCTTTATTGTTATTAGTTATTCACTGTGTAGTTATTCCTTGTGTCACTATTTATATTTGTATTTTCTCTTTATCTTTAACTCTGCATTGTTGAAAAAGGACTCGTAAGTAAGCCTTTCACTGTTAGTCTACACCTGTTGTTTACGAAACATGTGAAAAATAAAATTTGATTTGATTTGATTTGACACCGGCATTGATCCGGGGTGAAGTTTCCCCTAGGTACAGATCTATGATCAGCTTCCCCTCCCTCAATCCTTACCTCAACCATTAGTGGGAGAGCAACACTGACCCAAGATCAGCGCCTAGGGGCAACTTCACCCTACTCCACATGATAGTGGTCTCACCGTGTGACCTTGAAGATCCTGAGCAAGCGGACACAGCGGAACACAGAGATGCCCAGAGGAGACATGATGGCCAGCTCCACCAGGATGGTCTCGGTGATGCCTCCACACACCACGAAGCAGTCAAATCGGTTGAAAAGGGACACAAAGTAGGCCTGCAGGCCCAGACTGTACATCTTGGTCATCATCTCACACGTAAACATGCCCAGCAGAACCTTGTTTGCCACGTCTGGAAACACGCAGGGCAGAAGGAGGTGTCAGTCAATATAACACATTAACAGTATAGCAAATATCATAGATACTATAGTTAGGGCCAGGAGTTTTAGACTGAGAGTGGTAGCCGCATACCCTGTCCTTGTGTAACACAGTCAGGCTGGTTGTAGTGTACTAATCCTGTACTTGTGTAACACAGTCAGGCTGGTTGTAGTGTACTAACCCGGTACTTGTGTAACACAGTCAGGCTGGTTGTAGTGTACTAATCCTGTACTTGTGTAACACAGTCAGGATGGTTGTAGTGTACTAACCCTGTCCTTGTGTAACACAGTCAGGCTGGTTGTAGTGTACTAATCCTGTACTTGTGTAACCCAGTCAGGCTGGTTGTACTGTACTAACCCTGTACTTGTGTAACCCATTCAGGCTGGTTGTAGTGTACTATTCCTGCACTTGTGTAACCCAGTCAGGCTGGTTGTAGTGTACTAAACCTGTACTTGTGTAACCCAGTCAGGCTGGTTGTAGTGAACTAACCCGGTACTTTGTAACCAGTCGGGTTTGGTGTATGACTAACCCTGAAATTGTGAACCAGTCAGGCGGTTGTATGTACTAACCGTATTTGTGTAACCCAGTCAGGGGTTGTAGTGTAACTAACCCTGACTTGGAAAACCCAGTCAGGTGGTTAGGTACTAACCCTGACTTGTGAACCAGTCAGGCTGGTGTAGTGACTAACCCTGTACTTGTGAAACCCCAGTCGGATGGATGTAGTGACTAACCCTGTACTTGTGTAACCCAGAGGCTGGTGTAGTGTACTAACCTTACTTGTTAACCACGGATGGTGTAGTGTACTAACCCTTATGTGTACACAGTCAGGCGGGTGTAGTGTACAAACCCTGATTGTGTAACAGTCAGGTGGTGGTGTACACCTGTACTTGTGTAAACCAGTAGGCTGGTTGTAGTGCTATCCAACGTGTAACCCAGTCAGGCTGGTTGAGTGTAACCTGTACTTGTGTAACCCAGTCAGGCTGGTTTAGTAACTAACCTGTACTTCTGTAACCACATTCAGGCTGGTTGTAGTTTACTAACCCTGTACTTTGTAACACAGTCCTGCTGGTTGTTAGTGTACTAACCCTGTACTTGTGTAACCCAGTCGGCTGGTTGTAGTGTACTACCCTGTACCTTGTGTAACCCAGTCAGGCTGGGTTGTAGTGTACTAACCCTGTACTTGTGTAACACAGTCAGGCTGGTTGTTGTGTAACTAAACCTGTACTTGTGTAACCACCAGTGCAGGCTTGGTTGGAGTTGAACTAACCCGGTACTTGTGTAACCCAGTCCAGGCTTGGATTGTGTGTTACTAACCCTGTAACTTGTGTAAACCCAGTCAGGCTGGTTGTAGTGTACTAACCCTGCACTTGTGTAACCCAGTCAAGGCTGGTTGTAGTGTATAAACCTGTAACTTGTGTAACCCAGTCAAGGCTGGTTGTAGTGACTAACCCGGTACTTGTGTAACCCAGTCAGGCTGGATGTAGTGAAGCTACTAACCCGTACTTGTGTAACCCAGTCCAGGCCTGGTTGTAGTGTACTAACTGTACTTGTGAACCAGTCAGGCTGGTTGTAGTGGTACTAACTCCTGTACTTACTTGTGTAACAGTGGTTGTAGTGTACTAACCCTGTACTTGTGTAACACAGTCAGGCTGGTTGTAGTGTACTAACCCTGTACTTGTGTAACCCAGTCAGGCTGGTTGTAGTGTACTAACCCTGTACTTGTGTAACCCAGTCAGGCTGGTTGTAGTGTACTAACCATGTACTTGTGTAACCCAGTCAGGCTGGTTGTAGTGTACTAAACCTGTACTTGTGTAACCCAGTCAGGCTGGTTGTAGTGTACTAACCCTGTACTTGTGTAACCCAGTCAGGCTGGTTGTAGTGTACTAACCCTGTACTTGTGTAACCAGTCAGGCTGGTTGTAGTGTACTAACCCTGTACTTGTGTAACCCAGTCAGGCTGGTTGTAGTGTACTAACCCTGTACTTGTGTAACCCAGTCAGGCTGGTTGTAGTGTACTAACCCTGTACTTGTGTAACCCAGTCAGGATGGTTGTAGTGTACTAACCCTGTACTTGTGTAACCCAGTCAGGCTGGTTGTAGTGTACTAACCCTGTACTTGTGTAACCCAGTCAGGCTGGTTGTAGTGTACTAACCCTGTACTTGTGTAACACGTCAGGCTGGTGTAATTTTAACCTGTATTGTTAACCCTCGATGGTTGTATGTCAACCCTGTACTTGTGTAACCATTGGTTGTGTAAACCAGTACGTAGGTGATAACCCTGTCTGTGTAACCCAGTCAGCTGGTTGTAGTGTATAACCCGTACTTTGTACCCCTCAGCTGGTAGCTGGGTAACTATGGTTGTGTAACCGTCAGGTGGTTTAGTGTACCAACCTGTACTTGTGTGAACAAGTGGTTGTAGTGTACAACCCGTTTGTGTACCAGTAGGCTGTTTGTGTAACCAGTCCTGTTTTGTACACAGGTGTTGTACTTCCGCACTTGTGTAACCCAGTCAGGCTGGTTCCCAGTGGTTGGTACTAAACCGTATTGTGTAACCCAGTCAGGTGGTTGAGGTTACAACCTGTATTCTTAACACATTCAGGCTGGTGTAGTTTCTACTTACTGTGTAACCGTCTGTGTTAACAACCGGTGGTTTGTGTAAACCCTACTTGTGTCCCGTCGGTCTATGTATTGTTAACCCATTATTGGTAGTGTCAACCCGTACTTGTTGTACCCCCTCAGGTTTGTGTTAACTACCTGCTTTTGTAACCGGCTGGTTGTAGTACTACCTGCTTGTGTTAACACGTCGGTGGTTGTATGTACTAACCCTGTACTTGTGTAACCAGTCAGGACGGTTGTAGTGTATAACCCTGTTGTGGTAACCCAGTCATGGTTGTAGGTATAACCTGATTGTGTACAAGGCTGGTTGTATGACACACCTGGTGTAACTGTGACCTAACCGTTGGTGGTAGTGAACTAACCCTGTACTTTGTAACCCAGTCAGGCTGGTTTAGTGACTAACCCTGTACTTTTACCCGTCAGTGGTTGTAGTGTACTAACCCTGTACTTGTAACACAGAGGCTGGTTGTTGTACTAACCATGTATTGTGTAACACCAGGCTGGTTGTAGTGTACTATTCCTGCACTTGTGTAACCCAGTCAGGCTGGTTGTAGTGTACTAAACCTGTACTTGTGTAACCCAGTCAGGCTGGTTGTAGTGAACAAACCCGGTACTTGTGTAACCCAGTCAGGCTGGATGTAGTGAACTAACCCTGTACTTGTGTAACCCAGTCAGGCTGGTTGTAGTGTACTAACCCTGTACTTGTGTAACACAGTCAGGCTGGTTGTAGTGTACTAACTCTGTACTTGTGTAACACAGTCTGGCTGGTTGTAGTGTACTAACCCTGTACTTGTGTAACACAGTCAGGCTGGTTGTAGTGTACTAACCCTGAACTTGTGTAACACAGTCAGGCTGGTTGTAGTGAACTAACCCTGTACTTGTGTGAGCCAGTCAGGCTGGTTGTAGTGCTCTGAGGAGATGGTGAGCGTGTTGAGAAACACCAGGATGATCACAGACACTGGTTGTAGTGTACTAACCCTGTACTTGTGTAACACAGTCAGGCTGGTTGTAGTGAACTAACCCTGTACTTGTGTAACCCAGTCAGGCTGGTTGTAGTGTACTAACCCTGTACTTGTGTAACACAGTCAGGCTGGTTGTTGTGTACTAACCCTGTACTTCTGTAACACATTCAGGCTGGTTGTAGTGTACTAACCCTGTCCTTGTGTAACACAGTCCGGCTGGATGTAGTGTACTAACCCTGTACTTGTGTAACACAGTCAGGCTGGTTGTAGGGTACTAACCCTGTCCTTGTGTAACACAGTCAGGCTGGTTGTAGTGAACTAACCCTGTACTTGTGTGAGCCAGTCAGGCTGGTTGTAGTGCTCTGAAGAGATGGTGAGCGTGTTGAGAAACACCAGGATGATCACCAGCCAATAGAAAGGCACCGATTTCACCGCCACCCGGCACTTCCTGCGGCAGAACCTGTTCCAGCGACGCCAGCGCCGACTGTGAGACAGGAAGTGATGTCAGCAAAAGGAGATGAGTAGGGGCAGCACAGGGAAGTTGTCATTGAAGAGGGGAGAGGGGGAGGGTCGATGGTTAGAGGGGAGTTAGGAAATACTGTATATAAAGACGGGGTTTAGGCAGGCACTGTATTCAAAGAATATCTGAAGAAAACTTGGGAAAGAGAAGTCAATGAACTTTGGATGAAAGAACTTTGGGAGAGGGAGAGAGCAGCATAGCATGCAGTATAGATCACAAAGTATAAAAACGCTGCATAAGGCACCAGCTCCTCCAGTTCCTCCCGATGCCCCAGATTACATGCTGACTTGTTTAAAGGGGAGGTGGAGTTGATTTATTACCTGAAGACTCATTAATGCAGACTCTAGAGATCAGAACAGCACATACAGTAGAAAAACCTAAGCAAGCATTTATATACAGAAATAAAAGATGTCACCACTTCATGCAGAAAAATAAAAGTTTTACTGTACAGACTGCTGCTGCATGCATCAAGCAAGGACACATGCAAGGCAAGGTGATTTCACTGACCTGAACTTTGACTTTGAAATTATTTGGCTGGAAAAATCAAGACATTTATAATAAATGTCAGTTCAGCTTGCTGACTGCAGGATATTCATTAATTTTGTACAAAGCTACATATCCTATGTACCATCTTTATGACCAAACAGGAGTGGTCTTAGAATTAATCAAACAAATGTATATTATTTAAGCTCGTTTTACATCAGCAGACAGGATAGAGGATAGATACAGATATAAAGACCACACACACGTGTTTACACGATCGGTCACTCAGGTGACAGAGGTTGTGTTTCTGTAAAGAATGTCGTAGTTTCTATGATATCCAAGGTTGTGTTCTAAGTGACAGTACAGCAGATGTGGTAATAGTCTGTGGGGGGTTCTTACCAAAAAGGTCCACAGCACGGTGTCTTCACCTCATCCTCAGCCACGTTCTCTGTGTTCACTGACTCCGTCTCACTGGCTGGTATACTCGCTGTGGCAGCAAACAGAGTACCAGAGTAAATCATACGCACGCACGCACGCACGCACACACACAACCCCACATAACACACTGTACATGTCACACACACACACATCAAACGTACAGTGTGCAGTCACACCCTAGGTACCACAGCTGTGTCAAACACATCCCAGAGAAAATAAACCTAATTCACCAACAAATTCCTCAACAAAAGAAAGAAAGAACGGTCAGATTACTCCAGGAATTTCTAAGAAATCCCTTCTAGTTTGAGAAACAGACGCCTCACAGGTCCTCAACTGGCAGCTTCATTAAATAGTACCCGCAAAACACCAGTCTCAACGTCAACAGTGAAGAGGCGACTCCGGGATGCTGACCTTCTAGGAAGAGTTGCAAAGAAAAAGTCCAGTGTCTGTGTTCTTTTGCCCATCTTAATCTTTTATTTTTATTGGCCAGTCTGAGACATGGCTTTTTCTTTGCAACTCTGCCTAGAAGATCAGCATCCCAGAGTCGCCTCTTCACTGTTGATGTTGAGACTGGTGTTTTGCAGGTACTATTTAATGAAGCTGCCAGTTGAGGACCTGTGAGCTGTCTGTTTCTCAAACTAGACACTCTAATGTATTTGTCCTTTTGCTCAGTTGTGCACCGGGGCCTCCCACTCCTCTTTCTATTCTGGTTAGAGCCAGTTTGCGCTGTTCTGTGAAGGGAGTAGTACACAGCGTTGTACGAGATCTTCAGTTTCTTGGCCATTTCTCGCATGGAATAGCCTTCATTTCTCAGAACAAGAATAGACTGACAAGTTTCAGAAGAAAGTTATTTGTTTCTGGCCATTTTGAGCCTGTAATCGAACCCACAATTGCTGATGCTCCAGATACTGAACTAGTCTCAAGAAGGCCAGTTTTATTGCTTCTTTAATCAGCACAACAGTTTTCAGCTGTGCTAACATAATTGCAAAAGGTTTTTCTAATGATCAATTAGCCTTTTAAAATGATAAACTTGGATTAGCAAAGACAACGTGCCATTGGAACACAGGACTGATGGTTGCTGATAATGGGCCTCTGTACACCTATGTAGATATTCCATTAAAAATCAGCAGTTTTCAGCTACAATAGCCATTTACAACATTAATATTTTTACATTACATTTTAGTCATTTAGCAGACGCTCTTATCCAGAGCGACTTACAGTTACTGAGTGCATAAATTTTTTCATACTGGTCCCCCGTGGGAATCGAACCCGCCATGCTCTACCAACTGAGCTACATGGGAATATGGCTACACTGTATTTCTGATTAATTTTATGTTATTTTAATGGACAAAAAAATTGCTTTTCCTTCGAAAACAAGGGAATTTCTAATTGTCCCCAAACTTTTGAACGGTAGTGTATGTAGAAAAGATAATGGACCTATATATTGTTTCATAATATAGTCTTTGAGAATTAACTATTACCAAAATTAAAGCTAGACAGGGAGAATAGTAAATTCCCAAAACAATGAATTTAGCAGTATTGATTTAGTTATTCTGCTTGTCAATTAGCCATGGCAAAATGCATAGAATTGCAGGAAATTAGTTTTCAATATGCAACATTTTCTCTAAGCTCCACGGCAAAATTGGTAGAATTGCAGGAAATTTGCTTTAAAACTGTAAACATTTCTCTCAGCTCCATGGAGAAATGTGTAGAATTGCAGGAAATACACAAAAAAAAAGCAAACATTTCTCCAAATGTTCTCTAAAATTCACCTGCGCTGAAGGGTGGACCATGCCCGTTGCCACGCCCCTGCCACGCTCATCGCCTAAGCCCCTTTTTGATCCAGAAAAAAACCCTGACAGCGCTACACACATCAAACGTACAGTGCGCAGTCACACCCTAGGTACCACAGCTGTGTCAAACACATCCCAGAGAAAATAAGAGTGGACCATGCCCGTTGCCACGCCCCCTGCCACGCTCATCGCCTAAGCCCCTTTTTGATCCAGCAAAAAACCCTGACAGTGCTACAACTTTTATGTGAGAGCACTCCTTGTTTGTGCGAGGGTACGGACGCACTGCTGCTTAGTTTGTGTGAAAGCGTTCTCCTTGACTTTCGAGTGCTACGACAGAGACAGCTCTCTCTCTGTCTCTCTCTCAATATCTGAATGCTGTTAGGTGTAGTGATCTGGGTTTAGCCCTGTTTGCCTATTCACACTGAGCCCCTAGCCTTGTTGCTTTAAATGGGCTGTGCATAGAGAGAGAGCGAGAGGGAGAGAAGTTGAGCGCCTGGCATCAACCGGGGAAGTATGTATTCATATTCTGCTCCCTGCTACTCATCACCTGACTACTCTCACAGGGGATAAGAAGGGTCAATCACAATAGCAAAGCACAAGCAGGGGGATTAGGCTGCACACATTAGTACATACACAAACACACAAGCTTTCACACAAAAGTGCAGACTCAACACACACACACACGATCTTGCTAACTCGCACACGGACACACATACATGGTGGCACCTTAATTGGGGAGGACGGGCTCGTGGTAATGGCTGGGGCGGAATCAGTGGAATGGTATCAAATACATCGAACGTATGGTTTCCATGTGTTTGATGCCATTCCATTCGCTCCGTTCCAACTATTATTATGAGCTATCCTCCTCTCAGCAACCTCCACTGCTACACACACACACACACACACACACCCCACCCTACACACACACACACACTTCTTCAATGTGGAAGGGAAAACCAGGGGATTTACCATGAGTGTCGGAGGACTGGCTGAACCACCCAAACCTGCTTCCTTTCTTCTTCTCTGTGAGGTCAGCCAGAGTCACCCCTTCATGTGTAAAGCATGCAAGCCCATGCATTCAGACAGCAGCGCACCAAACGGCACAGCAGAGAAACATGGGGGCGAGAATAGGGCTCTATCAAGACGGGTTAGAGCAGCACAGTAACAATTCACCACAACAACAGTAACAACAACCACAGCAACAACAACAACAGTACAGCTGGCAACAGCGACACTGACTGACAACACCAGCACCACTGACACTGACACCAATAGGATGGACTGTAGTAGACACTGAAGAGGAGCAGAAGAGGAAGATGGACAGCTGTTAGTCACATGACAGGAAGCTAGTGTCTGCAGGCCGGGGGTGGAGGGGGGGGGGGGGGGGGGGGGGGGGGGGGGGGGCGTACAGAACAGAACAGTACAGAACAGTAAAATACATAACAGTAGCACTAGAGTCTATACTAACATGCTGCAATGCAAATTAACAGCATTCACATGTACATGTTAGCATACAGTCTCTCATGTCATGGCCCGGACCGGTGACAGCAACAGAAAAGCCAGCATGATACATTTCCCAGGTTGGTATCGCCAAGGGGATCCATGTTATTATAACCCCCGACCTTCAGCCCAGTGCCAAGCATTCCCAGCACTAGAAGGCTCACTTCTGAGACTTACATACTGAAGTTGCTGTTACTACCATATCTCCTATCACATTACTATCCAGTTAGTGTTTCTGTTGACTGCGTGAATGGAGGCAGTGGTGCTAATTCTGATGATAAACACTAGAATGATCAGACTTCACTACACTTTATTTTCCTATACTTGACTATACTTGAATATACTTGACTATACTTGAATACGCTTGAATATACTTTACTATAATTGACTATACCTTACTTTGCTTAACTTGGTTTAAAGGTTCAAAGACTAAATCCAGTTATTGACTCTAGACTCATTTGGGTGAAAGGAGAAAAATCCAAGTAAAACTAGAGTGTATTTGGAAGCTTGGCAGAGATATTTGACTAAATCTCCCTAATTTGTAAACAGGACCGGGACTGGGACCGTACTGAAGCTCTGCGGTGTGGAGAGAGTACAGGAGAGAGGCAGCTCTAAAGTTACACAGCGAAAGAGGTTTTAGGGGAGGGGGAATGAGAGATGTTGTAGTAGCGTCGTGCTGCTCACTGGTTGATAGGGAGGGTGGATAGAGATACTGTACTAAAGCTGTATGAATGGACAGTAGCAGTTTCGCTGTTCTGTTCTGCATCATGTGCTGCTTATATAAAGAGGATTTGGATTACAGTCTTTTTTTCTGCTCAAGTAATATGATTTATCCCTGTTCTCCCTCCTCAGACTAACTAAACCGGCACACAGAGAGCTCTGCACACATTACTAGGGTGTGAACTGAGGAAGGCTATGATAATAGAGCTGTATAGTGCACCTCACACACCTGATATAAATACTCTTTAGAGTCATAACAATAGTTGACAACAATATTGGGAATGTTGCTGATTACAAGATGTAGCGGTTAACATGTTTACGTGTAGGAGCGTGTGTGTGTGTCTAAGTGTGTGAAGTGTGTGTCGACGGAGAGTGAGAGAGTATAATCACCTGACTCACAGTGCAGCGTGACATAGCTTCTGTGTGTAATCTTTTTTTCTCTCAAAAACAACCTTGATCATTTGGCTTCATCTCCCTACACTGACCTACATTACAGGGGACTCTGGATCACCAAATCTATATTATCTGCTCTGTCGTGTGTTTGTGTTTGTGTTTGTGTGTGTGTGTGTGTGTGAGTGTGTGTGTGCACGAGTGTGAGTGTGCAATATTTTAGTGTAGGGAGATGTACAGTGGCTTGCGAAGGTATTCACCCCCCTTGGCATTTTTCCTATTTTGTTGCCTTACAACCTGGAATTAAAATGGATTTTTGGGGGGTTTGCATCATTTGATTTACACAACATGCTTACCAATTTGAAGATGCAAATTATTTTTTATTGTGAAACAAACATTCTACCAATTCAATACTTTGTAGAGACACCTTTTGCAGCAATTACAGCTGCAAGACTCTTGGGGTATGTCTCTATAAGCTCGTCAAGGCAAAACTGCTCCAGCTCCTTCAAGTTGGATGGGTTCCGCTGGTGTACAGTAATCTTTAAGTCATACCACAGATTCTCAATTGGATTGAGGTCTGGGATTTGACTAGGCCATTCCAAGACATTTAAATGTTTCCCCTTAAACCACTCGAGTGTTGCTTTAGCAGTATGCTTAGGGTCACTGTCCTGCTGGAAGTTGAACCTCCGTCCCAGTCTCAAATCTCTGGAGGACTGAAACAGGTTTCCCTCAAGAATTTCCCTGTATTTAGCGCCATCCATCATTCCTTCAATTCTGACCAGTTTCCCAGTCCCTGCCGATGAAAAACATCCCCATAGCAGGATGGTGTTCTCGGGGTGATGAGAGGTGTTGGATTTGCGCCAGACATAGCGTTTTCCTTGATGGCCAAAAAGCTCAATTTTAGTCTCTGCGTGTGTCAAATCAAATACATTATTACTGGTCTCGTGCACATATTTGTGTGCGCATTTGTACGTGCGCACGTTTGTGTGTGCGTGTTTTAGGGTAGTGTGTGGGTGCGCGTTTGTGTGTGTGTGTTGTAGGGTGCTTACGGTTGCGTTTGCCCTCCTCGTAGCCCTCCTCGTCCTCGTTGTCCGGGTCGATGTCCTCAGCCTGAGTGATCCAGTCCAGGTAGCCCTTCAGGTCCTCCTCCAGCTGTTGCTTCTCTCGCAGTTTCTGAAAGTCTCCACGAGCCTTGGCCTTCTCTCTCTCCTTGGAGAACTCTCTGTGGGCACACAGAACACAGACACGTTAGAGTATGCATACACAGCATACAAATACACAAATGCGCCACACACAAAATCACACACAATAGACACGCTCAGACTCAATAACGGTTCACTTCACACAATGGCTCGCCACACACAATTTGTATGCAAAATGTTATACAGTTAGTTCTAGGGGTGTGAACGTTTAAACGTTTAAAACAAATTGGGATCGTTTACCATTTAAAACATCTACCAGCCACTCAGATCTTTTACCAGCCCAAATATTTTTTGCTACATAATTACATCAAAAATCCCCCCAAAAATGGATGGGCATGCTTTCTAATGTTTCAAAAACAAGACATGTATTACTAGTAAGAAGTAATGGGGTATACTGCTTAATTTCATTTAATTTTTGTGACCTGCGTCTTTTAACCAATGTATGTTAAAATAAATCATTTAGATCCAATAATAAAAACAGATAAACAGTTCTACAATAGAACATCAAGAATCAACAAAGTGCCTGCCTTGCCACAAAATGCTGAGTGATACGGCTTATTTATTATTACAGTTCAGGGCTCTATGCTGACATTTTCTACAAGGAGTAGGCTACATGATGTGCGCCTAAGTAGAAATGTAGCAATAGATCTACGAGAACAATGACTAAAAGTTCATGAATAAACATTTTTGGGAGTGATCCATGCTCAATCAAGCATAATCATTAGGTGAGACAGAAATGTTCAGCTGGCCCTTTAAGAGACGGGCCGTTACCGTGGTAACTTGGGCACTTGCTTGTCTGTGATGAAAGAAATCTTTGACTGCGATGTCATCCTAGCAGCAGACAGTTTCAGCAAACTCAAACACTGAAAAACAACCTAGCAAATCACATCATATTGCATGTGAACCTAACGATGTAAATGGCCAAGAAATACGAGCACTAAGTTTTCTTGTCTATTCGACCAACTTCTACATGTGAAAAAAATAAAAATAATAATAAATGCTCTGTGTGACCATCCGCTAAAGTGGCTGGTGAAATATACATTCTTACCTGCCAATGACCAAATCAACCCGCATTTAGCGGGTGGCGAGGGTTAATTTCCAACCCTGTCATTACATTTAGAAGAAAAAAAATACAGAAAACCAATGTCATCACAAAGGGGAGATTTTATTAAAAACTAGGGTTGGCCGATATATGATTAAATCAAATATTGTGTTATTTGACATTGGTGATATATTTTGTGATTTGCAAGACTATACTCTATTTGAACATTACAAATCTAAATGCTGGAGTTTGATCAGTTAGGCTGTATCAATATTTACATTTTAGTCATTTAGCAGACGCTCTTATCCAGAGCGACTTACATGAGAAATTAGTGTTAAATGCCTTGCTCAAGGGCACATCGACATATTTTTCCACCTAGTCAGCTCAGAGATTCGAACCAGCGACCTTTCGGTTATTGGCCCAATGCTCTCAAACGCTAGGCTACCTGCCGCCCTCAATCAATATATATATATTTTTTATACCTTTATTTAACTAGGCCAAGTCAGTTAAGAACAAATTCTTATTTACAATGACGGCCTACACCGGCCAAACCCGGACAACGCTGGGCCAATTGTGCACTTTTATTTTATTTTTTTATTTCACCTTTATTTAACCAGGTAAGCCAGTTGAGAACAGGTTCTCATTTACAACTGCGACCTGGCCAAGATAAAGCAAAGTAGTGCAATAAAAACAACACAGAGTTACACATGGGGTAAAAAACATAAAGTCAGAAATACAACTGACCTATGGGACTCCCAATCACGGCCGGTTGTGATACAGCCTGGAATCGAACCAGGGGGTCTGTAGTGACGCCTTGTCACGCCCTGGCCTTGACAGGCCGGTTGTCTTTAGTTGGTTTGGTCAGGGCGTAAGGATCTATGTTAGAATTTCTATGTTTAGGATCTAGATGTGTATTTCTAGGTTTGGCCGGGTGTGATTCCCAATCAGAGGCAGCTGTCGCTCGTTGTCTTTGATTGGGGATCATACTTAGGTAGCCTATTGCCTACTGTTGATTGTGGGATCTTGTTCCTGTTAGACTGGTATGTTTATAGCCTGAGGACTTCACGTTACGTTGTTTCTTGTTTTGTTTATGTTTATTGAGTTAAATAAACATGTACGCTTTTCACGCTGCACCTTGGTCTGACCCGTCTCTCAACGATCGTGACAGAAGATCCCACCAAAAACGGACCAAGCAGCGTGCCCAGGAGCAGCAGACATCCTGGACACAGGTGGGGAAGTCATTTTGGACTTGGGAGGAGATAATGGCTGGTAAAGGACCCTGGGCGAAGGAGGAAGCCCAGGCAGGAGAGGATCAACGGCGACATCAACGGTGCCGGCCGAAGAGGAAGCCCGAGAAGCAGCCCCAAGAAAAATGTTTGGGGGGGCTCACAGGGTGGACGACAAAGCAGCAGGAGGCTGGGAAAAGGCTGACTAGAGAGGAGGAGGCCGCTATTCTAGAGGTCCTCCAAGACCTGCGGATCGAGAGTCTGAGAGAGGAGGCCACCACGTTACAGTGGCTGTTTGATCAGAGGGAGCAGGGGGTATCCATTCAGAGGGAGGCGCTACAGGAGGCTCAAAGGGAGAAGGAAGTAGTGGAGGCAAGAAGAGAGGAGCTGGTCAGGCAACAGAAGGAGCGTGTGTTCATAGAGGAACCTAAGTATGCGGAGATACGCACTGTGTCGCCAGTGCGCATGCACAGCCCAGTGCGTCCTGTGCCAGCGCCCCGCACGTGTCGTGCGAAAGTGGGCATCCAGCCAGGACGGGTTGTGCCAGCTGTACACACCAGACCTCCAGTACGCCTTCACGGTCCAGTATATCCTGCTCCGGTTCTACGCACTGTGTCACCAGTGCGCCTCACCAGCCCGGTAAGCCCCATACCTGCTCCCCGCACCAAACCAGTGGTGCGTGTATCCAGTCCAGTACGGCCCGTACCTGATCCCCGCACCAAGCCAGAGGTGCATGTATCCAGTCCGGCACAGCCCGTGCCTGCTCCTCGCACCAAACTAGTGGTGCCTGTCGCCAGCCCGGTACGCCCCATACCTGCTCCCCACACCAAACCAGTGGTGCGCGTATCCAGTCCGGTACGGCCCGTGCCAGCTCCTCACACCAAACCAGTTGTGCCTGTCGCCAGCCCGGTACGCCCCGTACCTGCTCCCCGCACCAAACCAGTGGGGCGCGTATCCAGTCCGGTACGGCCCGTGCCAGCTCCTCGCACCAAACCAGTGGTGCCTGTCCCCGGCCCGGTACGCCCCGTACCTGCTCCCCACACCAAACCAGTGGGGCGCGTATCCAGTCCGGTAAGGCCCGTTCCTGCTCCTCGCACCAGACCTGTGGTGCGTGTTCCCGGTCCGGCCCAGCCCATTCCTGCTCCTCGCACCAGACCTGTGGTGCATGTCTCCAGTCTGGCCTGGCCCATTCCTGCTCCTCGCACCAGACCAGTGGTGCGTGTCCCCAGTCCGGCCCGGCCTGTTCCACCGGTGCCTGGTCCAGCAACGGTCAGCGGCTCCATTCCGGAGTCAGAGCATTCCGCTCCACCGGGGTCCAGTCCAGCTTCGGTCAGCGGCTCCACTCCGGAGCCAGAGCAGTCCGCTCCACCGGTGCCAGTCCAGCTCCGGTCAGCGGATCCATTCCGGAGACAGAGCAGTCCGCTCCACCGGGTTTCAGTCCAGCTCCGGTCAGCGGTTCCACTATGGAGCCAGAGTAGTCCGCTCCACCGGTGTCCAGTTCACTTCAGACCCAGAAGTCAGCCCCTCTCCAGGTTCGGGGTCTCCCACACCAGGGTCCAGACAGGGCTTGGTGCATCGTGGGGGAATTGCCGATCCAGGCCCAGACGTCAGCCCCTCTCCAGGTTCGGGGTCTCCCACACCAGGGTCCAGACAGGGCTTGGTGCATCGTGGGAGGAAGGAGAGGGGAAGCATCGCGCCGAGGTCCAGACCAGAGCAGGGGCGCAACGGGGATGCAGCCCGGAGCCGGAGAGGTCGTCACGCCCGGAGCCGGATCCGCCTCCGAAGCTGAATGCCCACCCGGACCCTCCCCTAATGAGTCAGGTTGGTGCGGCCGGAGTACGCACCTTTGGGGGGGGTTACTGTCACACCCTGGCCTTGAGAGGCCGGTTGTCTTTAGTTGGTTTGGTCAGGGCGTGAGGATCTACGTTAGAATTTCTATGTTTAGGATCTAGATGTGTATTTCTAGGTTTGGCCGGGTGTGATTCCCAATCAGAGGCAGCTGTCGCTCATTGTCTCTGATTGGGGATCATACTTAGGTAGCCCATTGCCTACTGTTGATTGTGGGATCTTGTTCCTGTTAGACTGGTATGTTTATAGCCTGAGGACTTCACGTTACGTTGTTTCTTGTTTTGTTTATGTTTATTGAGTTAAATAAACATGTACGCTTTTCACGCTGCACCTTGGTCTGACCCGTCTCTCAACGATCGTGACACGACTTAAGCACTGAGATGCAGTGTCTTAGAACGCTGCGCCACTCGGGAGCCGAATATGTTGAAAATGAAGTCTAAATGAATTAAGTAAGCCTTATTTTTTCGACATACTGAGATTATTTAATGAGAATGCAACTATAATATAGTAAATATGCCAAAAAAAGAATCACAGTCTGGAATAATCTATTCATTAACGGTGCAAAACAATTATACCAGGATGCATACTCAGAGCAGGCACTGACCAGCTGGCAAGTGTCTTCACTGACATTTTCAACCTCTCCCTGCCCCCAGTCTGTAATACCAACTTGTTTCAAGCAGACCTGCATAGTTCCCGTGCCTAAAAACGCCAAGGTAACCTGCCTAAATGGCTATTGCCCCGTAGCACTCACATTTATAGCCATGAAATTCTTTGGAAAGGCTGGTCATGGCTCACATCAACACCATCATCCCAGACACCCTGGTCCCACTCCAATTCGCATACCACCCCCTCAGATCCACAGATGACGCAATTTCTACTGCACTCCACACTGCCCTCACACAC